GGTGGTTCCTGGAGTGTCCAAGGGTTAGCTACGTGACCTGTCATTACAGTCGGTGGTAGCAGCCAGCCAGAGAGATTAGAACATACATCAGGCACTGGCGTGCAGCTTGTAACTAGGGCCTTTGAGATATCTGACCTGGGCATTTGGTGCTTAGTGACAAGTAGGGAAATTTCAGGGGCAGGATGGAGAGTGCTAGGGCAACAGAGGGGTGGTTTGAGGGGAAAGATGAGCAGATGGGCCAGACTCTTCCCTTTGTTTGTTTGTGATTGATACCTTCTTCTATCAAGCATTTACAGTGATGTTTCTCTGGTGTGCTTTTAATTACTTGCATAAATGCTCAATGTTTTTAATTTAAAAAACTATAAAAATACATTTGAATATATGCTTTTTCTTTTCTACTACATATTAGTACATCCATTTATACAGGTATAGGACTGTTTAGAGTCATATATAACAAATCATGTATATGGGCTTGCTGGGCAATTGGGAAAGGCCCAATATTTTTTTTATTTTGGGTAATTTTTTTTAAGATTTTATTTATTTATTTATTTATTTAAAAAAAATTTTTTTGAGAGAGAGGGAGAGAGTACAAGTAGACATAGAGGCAGAGGGAGAAGCAGACACCCCCTGAGCAAGAAGCCTGACACAGGGCTCAATTCCAGGACCCTGGGATCATGACCTGAGCCAAAGGCAGATGCTTAATGACCAAGCCACCCAGGTGCCCCACCAGGGGTAATTTTGATAGTACTGGATGTTTACCCTGAGTATTGACCCTAACCCCACAAAGGTAAGACTTGACCTAATCCCTCCTCTGTGGCAAGCCTTCCCTTATGCCCTAAAGGAGACAGAAACACACATTCTGTCCTTGTGGACCTTGTATCCTACTGGGATGTGCCATCTAGACATGTGATGAGTATGCCTGTGATGTGTGCTCTTATTGGAGGTATGTCCATGGTGAAATGGCATTCAGGAAGGTTCTATAGAGCAGGGACACTGGAGAGAATTCTCAAAGGGGGAGTAGGAGTGGTTATAGCGTTAATGGCTTCAGCCTAGCTCCAGAGCACTGGGGGAACAGCCTGAGTTCAAGTTCTGGTCCTGCCACATACTAGCTGTGTGAATGAATTCATATATGCCCAATCCCTAGAACTGAGCTTGGTACACAGTAGGTGCTTTGTGTTTGCTGTTCTTGGTCTTTAGTCCTATCCTGTCCTGGCCAGCTACCGTGTCAGTGGTCTTGGGCTTGCCTCCCTATGGAAGGTTATAGTATACGGGGCCGCCTGCACCCCTGCCTCCCAACACCTGGCCCAGTGGAGGTCAAATGGTAACTACCCATTGAAGTATATTTGCTCTGGGAAGAATTTCTGGCCATCATCCTATACAGTGATAAATGTGAACCCTAGCCTTTTCTTCCTCTTGAGGGGCAGGAGGTGCTGAGCTGAGGCTTCACACCCTCCCCCAGATCTTTCTCCTTGCCCCAACTGCCAATGCCTCCCTGCACCCCATCCTCCTGTCAGCTTCCCACAGGGCTGATCCTAACAGCCCTGGATGGAAGAGTCGGACTGGGAGTAGGGGTGTGGTCAGGCAGCAACCCTGTGAGCACAGATGGAGAGGGGGCTCCTTACATTCAGAGGGGCACTGACAAGCCAGGTGGGTCCAGCAGGGAACAGCCAACTGTTGGAGTGCCATACCCCAGGGAAACAGGAGAGTCTGGGGAGGCAGGGGAGCCCAGAGGGCAAGAGAATGCAGCTGGTGCAGGTGCTCGATGATTGCTCTGAAGCAGCACATCCCCTACCTGACCCTTCTGTGTGCCCACAGCTCCCAGCTGGGAGTAACTGGAGCTCCTAGCTGGGAGTGACCAGAGCATACACTACAGTGTACCAATGCTAAGGGTTGCCATGACCATGCCCTCCCTGGGTCACCTTGGTCTTCTGCATCCTCCACACCTCATTCAGAACCAGGTGAATTGCTGGTGCCCATTTGCTGCTTAATGGATGAACTGGACTCCCATGGTGGTGGTGGTGGTGGTTGTGGTGGTGGTGACGGGGGAGGCACAAGGGGTAGAGGGATAGGATAGAGCTGGGTTCAAATCTCTGTTTCTCACCTATTAGCTGTGTGGCTTGGGCAAGTCACTTAGCTTCTCTGAGCCTCGGTTTCTTCACCTGTGAAATGGGAAGCCCAGAGTCTACCTCCCTGGGTTCAATGAGCCGCTGTGTGCAAAGCAAGTAATAGCATCTGCACAGAGGCTCAGTGAGCTAAGACCTATCTCTGAATCTCTGCATATCTCCATCTGTGCATGCTGCCACTCCCTCCTTCAGTACCCTATCTCTGACACCCCTCGGATCCCAGGCACCTCTCAAACTGCTCAAGACTCAGCCTGGCCCACAAGGAACTAGCCACAGGGACAGAGAACTGCCCACCTTCATCTCAATAGAACCTAGAGGCCACCTCATCCATCCCCTCTGGGGTTTCTGCCTCACTTCCCCATCCTTCATTTTAAAGGGCCCAAAAGGACATCCCAGAGCACAACTCAAGCTGGAAATTTCTGGAATTCATGAAGAAAGCCGCGCACTGGTGGTGGAAGTGTTCCCAAGGCCTGGGTGCCTCACATCCCCAGGCCTGCCTGCGCCTTGGAGAAGGGTCCTGGTACCTCCTATTTTCCCAGCCAGGAGGCCTGCGGGTTCCCACATTACCACATGAATGGGGCACAAGCCCCTGGTCCACTCGAGCAAACAATTTGGCTAGCAAATTGACATAATTATGAGAGACAGAGAGAGGAAAGAAAGCGGCCCCCACCTCCGAGGCCCCCCAGCGGGTGGCTCCCGCCGAGCTCCTCCCTGGCTTTGTGGGCCGGGCGCTCAGGGCTGATTAGAAACCGTGTGGCCTTTTCAAGAGCCCTAAGTGATTGGCCCCCTTAATCTGATTACAATTTGCAGAGTCCCTCCAGCCGCCTCTGAAGGGCCTTTCTCAAGCACCCTGCTCGATGGTGCGCGCGCGCATGCATACACACACACACACACACACACACACACACACACACACACACACACTTAGCACCCACTCGGGCCTGCTGGTGGGGGCTAGGCTCCTTTGTCCATGCCTTACTTCTTCAGTTAGGGACCTTAAGCGGCCCCAGTCCCCTAAAGGTACACCCTAGACTTCAGACACATGCAGGGGGACTGGGGCTGCCCTAACACACCAGGTCACCTATCTTTAGGGTCCCACACAGATATACCGCCCAGCTGAGGGGCACCTGAGGATACGCACACCCCATGGGCACACCTTCCCCAGCACCCATCCTTCGTTAGAGGCCACTCTGAGCGTCCAGCTCCATGCTGTGTAAGCCCATCAAGGGCGGCCCTATCTCCACAGCAGCTATATTTCTGGGGCTCTTCAAACTGCAGCTCCCAGGGGATTAGGCCCAGCAGGCTGCCTGGACACCGCTCAGCCACAGGCTGCTCCCACTGCCCCCCCCTGGGAACTCAGCCCTCCACAGCCACTTTGTAGCTCTTAATCCCCAGCCTCAGCCACAATGCCTCCTTTTCCCATAGTTGTTCCTGGCTCTTACAGGCTCCAGCCTGGCCTCCCACCCCTAAATGGAGTACCCCCCCCACCTGGGGGGGCAGCAGCTTAAGATGAGGGTGGGGTGGGGGCAAATCTGGGGCCAAGGCAGAAAGAGGCAGAAGATGGCTCTGGCCTTGTTAGCTAACCACGCATCCTCACGGAGGAGGAAGTGGGGCCCGAGCAGGTGGCTCGAGCCCTCCCAGGTGATGCCCCCAGCCTGCTGCACCCACATACCTCAGGCCCTCAGCCTGGAGGCCCTGAGAAGTGTTTTCTCCACTTAGGAACTCCACTGTCAGGCAGTCCCGGTGGCACAGCGGTTTAGCGCCGCCTGCAGCCTAGGGCATGACCCTGGAGACCCTGGATCGAGTCCCACATCAGGCTCTCTGAATGGTGCCTGCTTCTCCCTCTGCCTGTGTCTCTGCCCCTCTCTCTCTGTGTCTCTATGAATAATAATTTTTCAAAAAATCTTTAAAAAAACTTAAAAAAAAGGAACCCCACTGTCTTCTCAGACTGTCCCACAGAACTTCTGGTGGCTGGAGCCTAGGTTGAGATGTTGGAATCAGAAGGACCTGCGCCCCAGTCTCACCCTAGCACCATCTTCAATAACTCTGTGACCTTGGAAGGGTTACTTATCATCTCTGGGCCTCAGTCTCCCCATCGGTGAGATGGGTGTGATACAAGCTTTCTCTCAGGGTGGCATAGGGTGCTTCCAGCACTCAGCAGGACACCTGGCACACAAATGGCATCAATCTATGGCTGCTGCCACCATGTGCAAGTCAAGACCAGGAGGAAACCGGGGGTACAAACACTGATGGGGGTACAGTCTCTGCGCACCCCTGCAGCCCTGCTGGGAATGCCAGGCTCTGCAGTCCTGGGGGTTTTCTAGGACAAGTCTCGCAGGCGACAATTTTTAGATCTTGTCCTTGATCATGAGACGCAGAGCGGGTCTGGGCAACAGCGGTCTAGACCCAGGTCTCTACCTCCATAGGGCCCCGGGCACAGGTCCCCCAGGGCAGCCTCGACAGCTCCCTGGGACGACCACCGGGACCCGCACAGCTCCCAGGACCCAGGTCAGGTGATGGGAGGACGGTGGTGGAAGGGGTCCCGCCCCGGCCTCCTCCGAGCCCGGTGCTGCCGGGGTCCTAACCGGTTAGCCGACCGCCAGGGGCTCCTCTCCCCGCCCTGGGCCGGTCTCCCGGGGACCGTGTCCCCCTCCCGCGGGGCGCCCAGGCCCCTCCCCCGCCCTCGGGGGCGTGCCGCGGGGCGGGGCCGCCGGGCCGGGGGGCGGGCGGCTGGGGCTCGGCTCCGCGGAAATGAAAGCGGCCGCTCCGCTCCTCGCCACGCCGCACCCCTGCCGCGCCGCCGCGCACCTCCTCCTTTGTCACAATGTTTTTCAATCCGGTGAAGCAAACTGTCCAATTAGAGCCGGCGCCTCCAGCTTCCATCTTTGCCGACGTTTAATTAACATGCTCCTCTTGGCAGCTGCTGACAAGTTCCAGAAACAGGTTGTAAAGGGTTTTTGTCTTTACCCAGCATGGAAAATGAGGGGTGTTGCATCGCGGGAACATGAATAGGTTGCATTTCAGCTCCCTCCTCCCCCCCCTCCGGCTGGAGAATGAAGGCCTGAGTGTGTGTATGTATGTGTGAATTGTGAGGGGGGCGGGGAGGGCGGATTTGGAGGCAAGAGAGACCTCCTCCCTCTCCCCTCACCCCTTCTTCCCTGGAGTCTTTGCTCCACAAAGGATCTGGATTCTGCTGCGTATTTGCCAGCTGGCACACTTTTGCCTCACGTCTCTGCTAGCCATACCAAAGCTCGCCATGTTGGTTCTCATCTCTGGGTCTCTGCCTGGGCTGTCCCTGTGCCATCCTTCTGGTAAACTCCTATTCAGCCTCCAAAACCCTGCTCAGGTGACCCGCTCTGGGAACCCCCCTGGGCATTGAATGGCGGTCAGGGTTTAGGGTGGATGCTCGGTGTCTGGTTGGTCCTGTGAGCTACACTGTAAACCCCCTAAGGGTACGAAGTGTGTGTTACTCTGACCAGGGTGGTGGCTGGCGGTAGGAAGTGGGGAGACCTAAACTGCTGTGGAGGGAGGGAAGGCTTGCTTGGCAGGGAGGAAGGAGGGCAGGGTTGGGGTAGAGCCATTGGCTCAAAGGAGCCTTCCCCTCATTCTCCCACCCTGCCTGAGTGCCCTTGTAATGGGACAGGGTCAAATGAAGGGCACGGTTTTCACAATGGGTGTGTTTCTGGGATGGTTGATGTGAAGTAATGAAGGGCCTTCGAGAGAGACCCCAGCCCAAAAGCTGAGCCTGGCAGGGGGCACCAAGCTGGGGCAGCCTCCAGCACCCCAAATTCTTCCTCTTCAGGCCGGGATGATTTTCCTTGCATTGTGGGTGGCAGCTTGGTGTAGGAGGTCAGGACTACGGCAGCAGGCCAGGCCTCTTGGGTCCTTTTCTCCCTCAGATTGGCCCTGCTGGAGCATTCACACCCATTCTACAAAGAACACCAAGGACATTTATTCATGGAGGCTGCTGTCTGCATGGCACAGAGTGGTCTGGGGGACCCAGGGAGCAAGGGAGGTGCTGGCTGAGGGGCAGGCAGGGAGTGGAAGAGCCCGGCAGTTGGTGGCTGGCCTCTGAGTTGTCTCCTAGGAGGGCCCGGGTCCACTGCCAGCTCCCAGTCCCTCTCCTGCCTGCTTTCCTCAGGATGTGGCCACCAAGACCCCTGATGGCAGACCTCCTTGCAGCCAGAACCTGGCTTGGATGCCCATTTTGTCTATAACTCTTCCTTCTCCATTCTCAGGCAGGCCCCCTGGGATGAAGGGGAAGGGAAGGGAGGCACCCTGGGCCAGGCCATCAGGTGGGGTGCTGCTCGCCTTGCTCTTGTGTTCCCAGCTTGGTCAGCACTGCTCCTTTGGGAGCACCAGGACAGTCTGTGGAGCCTGCAGGGAGAAAGCCAAGAGTAGCGGGCCATTGTAGGGTCCTGCTATAGATCGTTGGGCACCTTTACCTTTTCAGGACAGGGTGGGCTTTAGAGGCAAGTGATCACAGCCTTGCTCTTCTCTATCCTTAAATCCTGACATCCTCTTCTGCCATATCACTCAGCCTTTTGCCCCAGACACAGCTCTTTCCAAGCTCTGGCCCCCAAGGGGATCAAATAGTGCTACTGAGGCAATGGTAATGACCTGCAAGGACCCCAGTTTCTCCACGTGTACTGTGTGGACTCAAAGAGGCTGAACTTCTCTGAGCCTTAATTTTCTCACTTAGAAAGAGGAAAATAGTTGCACCTGTCATGTGGAGCTCTCTGGAGGCTTAGATGCAAAGGCACAAGAAAGGGCTTGGTGCATTCCACAGAGGAGCAAAGAAATGTGAGCTGATGGGAAGAAGAAAGGAGATAGAAAAGGAAGGAAGAACTAGCCTGAACTGATTGGGTGGATAGAGCCAGAACTGTCATTTCCACTGGAAATTGGGGCTCTGTCTCTGGGTGAGGAGATCCTCAAAGTCACAACCAGTAAGCAGCAAAGCCAAGTGTGTAGCCAGGTGACCTTCTATGCATTCCCTCCTGTTCAGAGTGCCATCCACATATTCGTGTGCCTGCTAGGCTTGCAAGGAATCTGATCCTGAGGCCACCAACCCTTGTGTGCCCACTCCAATCCAGGCAGGAGGGGTGGAAACTCACATCCTCATGTCTTATGCTTTCTTTTTGCCCTTTTGGTGGTGGCATCCAGTTCTTAGAGCTGCCCCCCCCCCCCCCCCCCCGGGACAATCTGCCTGTGCTCACCTGCTTCTCACCTGTCCCGGGAGTTTAAGGTTCTGAGGGCTTGAGGGTAGAGTCCTCAGGATGTAAGACCGTGCTTTTCGGCTCCTCAGGCATCTGCAGAGAGAGGACGGCAGCTCCAAGGACCTTGTCCCAGGCCAGGCCGGTGTCCCTGGTAGAACTAGAACAGCCTGGGCAAGACTGGAGCAGCGTATGGTGTGTGGCGAGCGCCACCTTGTGATCATTGTGCAGATCGCATGCCGAAGAGCAGGGCCGTCTTTTACACAGGTATCGGGTCCCCTACACCGGGTTAGCCACACTGTCCAGGGTGCTGGGGCACTGCGAGGACGAGACAGGGTCCTTGTCCCACTTAGAGCAATGGAAAAGCATTCAGGTGATGAGCATGGTGACAGTACGATCTGTAAATGCACACAAGGGGCTCATAACACGCCTGGGAGGAGGGAGATTCCGGTTGTGCTGAACCCACTTTTGAAAGATGAGTAGTAGTGTGCCAGGGAGAGGCAGCATGGCAAACTCCCTGAACTGTAAGCAGGTCCAAAAGTGAGGTGGGGTGAGACCTAGGGGACGCCGGAAATGGATGGGTAACTGGAGTGGGGATGGGGTGGATCAGTCTTGTCTTGGCTTCAAGGTTTAGATTTGATCTTAAAGACCTCATCTTGGGACACCTGGGTGGCTCAGGGGTTGAATGTCTGCCTTCGGCTCAGGGCATGATCCTTGAGTCTCGGGATCAAGTCCTGCATCAGGCTCCTTGCGTGGAGCCTGCTTCTCCCTCTGCCTGTGCCTGCCTTTCTCTCTCTCATGAATAAATAAATTATATATACATATATATACACACACATATATATACATACATATATACACACACATTTATTATACGTATATATACATATGTATACGTATGTATATGTATATGTATACATATATGTATATAATAATAACATACATATATGTGTGTGTATATCTATCTATATCTATATCCATATCTACACCTCATCAGAGGTCCTGGGGGACATCTGTCTCATTCTGTCCTCTGGAAAGCCACCTCATCTCCCAGGTAAACCACCCAGTTCCAGGGGCTGAGGGGACGACCTGATGGTGGCTCACTTCCACTGACACAGAATTAGATCTCCAAATCAAGCACCACTGAATGGTATTCAGCAGATAGAAGGTGTGAACTTAGAATAAATGATAAAGATCAAAACAGAACTACAAGTGAACTTCTGTGTATGGGAATTGGTAAGATTTTTTTAGTTTATTTATTTCATTAGTGTTAGAGCCATGTGATTTCTTTCTTTTTTTCTTTTTAGCAATGTTTTTCTTTTTTTTTTTTAAAAAAGATTTTAATTATTCATCATAGACATAGAGAGAGAGGCAGAGACACAGGCAGAGGGAGAAGCAGGCTCCATGCCGGGGGCCTGATGTGGGACTCGATCCTGGGACTCCAGGATCACGCCCTGGGCCAAAAGCAGGCACTAAACCGCTGAGCCACCCAGGGATCCCTAGCCATGTGATTTCTAACTGTGGTGTTTAAAATAGTTTAAATTCTGGCTGTAAATATGGGATGAAAATGCTGCTAAAAAGAAGAAAGTTTATTAAGAATGTAATAACATAGAATATTATATAATAGACAGCAGGATCCCAAATTGGGCAAATACTCTCTGCTGTGTAAGAAAAATCTGGGCAGATTATTTTTTTAATATTTATTTATTCATGAGAGACACAGGCAGAGGGAAAAGCAGGCATCCTGTGAGAAGCCTGATGTGAAACTCGATCCCAGAACCCCAGGATCACGACCTGAACTGAAGGGAGATGCTCAACCACTGAGCCACGTAGGCATCCCAATCTGGGTGGATTAAAAAAAAAAAAAAAGACTAGAAGGACATATACCCAAAATATTAGTAGTCCTTAAATGAGGGTGATGGGATTTCTTTCTATTTTTTCCCTATTTCCAGATTTCTCTTAATGGGCTTCTATTTATTTTATAATAAAAAGATAATTTAAAGTGAATGAATTCAAAAGCATTATTAGTTATGAACATGAAATTGGTTCGTAGTTGGATATTAGTGAAAATTACTTGGAAAACTTCTGGTGTAGTTTTAAAAATAGCCATATGAAAGGCAGCAATGGGCAGATCTTTGTCATGGGGCCACAGACATAGGTGAGGTCATGAGGTCATGAGGAGAAGGAAGTGCAGGTAGCTGTCACCCCCCACCATCTAACGCAGGTAAACATCTCTAACAATGATTCCTCAGAAGGGAGGCCTGCCTGAAGTCACAGAAAACCCAAATTGTGGCATATTTTTAAGGAAACAGGGGCACTTGGGCAGCTCAGTCGGTTAAGCACCTGCCTTTGGTTCAGGTCATGATCCCGAGCTCCTGGAATCAAGTCCCTCATTGGGCTCTCTGCTCAGCGAGGAGTCTGCTTCTCCCTCCTGCTTGTGCTTTCTCTCATTCTATCTCTCAAATAAATAAATAAAATCTTTTTTTAAAAAAAAGTTAAAAAGGAACAGAGTTCTGTGACACCCTACTACTTTCTGCTTCTAGAACAATGGTTCTCAAGTTGGGTTTCTGTACTGATACTTCTCTGGATGCTTAAAGCAATGGAATGTCACAGAACCTAGTTTCTAGACCAGAATCATCTGGGAACTGATGACTAAATTGAAATTCTGGGTGCCTGGGAAGCTGCATTTTTACAAGGTCTCCAGGTGGTTCTTATGAAGTCTGAAGCTGAACACCACATCGTGGTTCTTAACCTGGGCTACATATTGGACTTACCTGGAGAAGCTTTAAAAAAAAAAAATTGTAATGTCCAGGCCCTAATCCCAGACCAATGAACTTCAAGCCTCTTGTGGCTGAGGCCTGGGCTTGGAGTGTCTTTAAGGCTTCCCAGGTGATTTCAACGCACAGGGAAGGGCCATGGTTCTCAGAGGTAGGTGTGGTTTTCATCAGAAACATGTGGAGGGCTTGTTGAATCATAGTGCCGGGGCCCACTCCTGAATTTGGGATTCAGGAGATCTGGGCAAGACTCAAGAATCTGTATTCCTAATAAGTTCTCAGGTGCTGCTGCCGGGGAGCACAGGGGACCACACTTGGGGAATTATTGCTCTAGAATAAAGCCTTCAGCCCCCAGGAGACACAGCCTCTGGATGGAGGAGCAGGGTGATGCAGGCTCTGTTCCCAACCCTCAGCTTCTAGTCCCTTAGCAGCCCGGCTGAATTGGGCAGGGTCTGTGGAGAATTCCATATCTCCCTTTGTGCAGATGAGCAAGTCCCTGGAACTCACCTCCCAGTAGATCGCATCCTCAAAGCAGTTCTCATCAGCAGGTTGTCCCCAGAACGGTAATTTCAAAATAATCCCTAGAGAGAGTTGGGAGTTGCACGAGGTCAGGAACCCCTTCCTCTCAGCCTACCCAGCCCTTCCCGTTAGCTAGGAAGCACCCACACACACACACAACCCAGTCCTCCAGCCACAAGTGCAGAGGATTCCTGGGAGCTCTGATCTGACATCTGGTACATGCTCTTGGGTGCCCAACCCATAGCAGCCCCACCTTCTCTGGCCCAGCCACTTCCACTCACCCACGATGATGCCGCCCACCAGGGCCATGGCCAGGGACACAAAGAGTCCAGCAGCCTGAAACTTGCCCTGGATGCTTGGGGTCCGGTTAGTCTTGAATCCATCAAAGCCAAAGGCTTGGGTAAGCCTGGGGTGGAGATCGGGATAGGTCAGGGCTCCACAGAGGCCAAGAAACCACCTGCAGTCGCCCCACAAATGTGGGTAGGCACCAAGGCTCCATAAACCCTGGCCCTGAACCTTCCCATGTGCAGTGGACAGATCAGATGGTCCCTAAGACACTTGAGGAAGAACAGAGGTTGGGGAGACAGGCCCATGGATAGTGGTTCAGATTGGGGAAGGTTAGGGATAGAGACACTCTGTTGGACCCCAGAGGAACAGCGGGAAGGAGGAATGGAGAAGGACAGAGGGAGCTCAGGCTCCCCTGCACCTCCTCCATACTTACCCATTTACTCCATACACATCAGTGTTGGCACAGGATGCTGTCACGGCACCTACGATAGCGCCAATGATGCCAGGGATGCCATGCAGGTTGTGAATGCCACATGTGTCCTGGACCCGCAGCCGGGACTCCAGGAATGGCTGGATAGGAGAGACAGGTATTGCTCAGGCCCTGGGCTGTGGCAAGGGTGTGGGGGAACCAAATACATGGAGCCCCAGGATTCTCTAGCCTCCAGCCCCTTCCCTAGGGAGCCCCCCACCTCCTCTCAGGAACATAGAGGCCCCCGGATTCTCCAGCCCTCAGCCCCTGACCTGGGCCCCTCACCGTCAGGTACACAAAACCCAGGGTGGAGACAATGCCGCAGATGAAGCCAACGATGAGGGAGCCATAAGGCATGAGCATCATTTCAGCCGCCGTCCCCACGGCCACCCCTCCTGCAAGTGTGGCATTCTGGATATGCACCTGGGTGGGGCAGGCAGGGTAGGCTGGGGCTCAGTCCTCTCCCAGAGCCCAGCACACTCTGTGAGTGTGTGTGTGTGTGTGCATGCGGGTGCATATGTGCACATGTGTGCTGCACCAGCAGTCTGGCCATTTCCCATGGGCACAAATCAATGTACTTGTGTCCTTGCAGGTGAGCCCTCTTGGCATGTCTGCACGTTCCCTCTCTATCTGTATGCTCAGGCGTGCACATCTGACGGTCCCTACACGCATACATGCTGACGTCAGGACCTGTGGGGCCTACGTGCAGAAACGCCCACGCTGACATCTGTGGACATACAACAGGACCAGCTGACTTTCTCTGAGGCCCTACCGGCACCAGGTGCTCTGCTGCCTGCCAATGGGAATGATATCAATACATTTCTACAAAAGCCCAGGAGGTAAGAACAGTTCTCTTTGGATGTTTGCAGAGGAGAGAATTGAGGCTCAGGGAAACCACACATCTAGCAAAAGGCAGAAAGGTATCCTGATTCAGGTCTGTGCGGAGCCAGAGCCCCTGACCTTGAATCTGTTCTGTGTCCTTGTCAGCGTGTGTCTGATTCTCTTCCCCCTGATGCGTGTGTCCCTACCTCTCTGTGTGGTGAGTGTCCAGTGCATCAAAGGGCTCATGGCAGCATCCTGGAATAACAGGTACTCCTGGCAGTGTTCCAGCACACATATACCCGTGTCAAGAAGCTAGTGTCAGACTATGAAATATAGAGGTGGTCTTCTTTTTATAGAAAAATCTATCAACACCTATGGGGCTTGGCCTCTCCCCACTAGTGACAGAACAATGTGTCCAAATGGTGTGAGAGGGAGGACACTGTGAAACCATACCCCCCTATAAACCTCCCCAGGGGAGTGGACGGGCATCAAAGGAGTTCCCTTTCTGAGTATATGGCATGGGGCGGGTGAAGGCAGCTTTAGGAAGGCTGAGGGGCAGGCAGCCCGGGTGGCTCAGCAGTTTAGCGCCGCCTTCGCCCAGGGTGTGATCCTGGAGACCCAGGATCGAGTCCCGTGTTGGGCTCCCTGCCTGGAGCCTGCTTCCCCTCTGCCTGTGTCTCTGCCTCTCTCTCTCTCTATGTCTCTCATGAATAAATAAATAAAGTCTTTAGAAAAAAAGGAAGTCTGAGGGCCAATGTTTGGAGGATCCAAAGCCTGGCAGAGGGGAAGTGCCCCTGACAACCCTACTGGGCAGGTCTGATGGGGTGCTCAGCCCAGAAGAGGTGTCAGCACCCGAGGTGGGGAGAAGGAAAATGAGAAGGAAGAGCCACTCATCCAGAGCAACCAGTGTCACAGAATCTGGGAATCTGGCTCTAGGCTCTGCCAAAAACTAGCTATGGAATCTGACCAAATAATTTCTCCCCAAAACTCAGTTTTTTCATCTGTAGGATGGGTGTGATAATCCTGATGCTGTCTGCCTCACAGAGATGCTGGTAGAGCCTGATGATCAGTGCCCAATGGGCTCAGGTCATACTCACACCTTCCCCCAGAGCTCTCCAGGGTACCCCCCACTGCTCACCATGTCCAGCTTGCCTTTCTTGTGCAAGGCACTAGATAGTGCCACTGAGGTGAGCACGCATGCTGCCAAGGAGCAGTAGGTGTTGATGGCAGCTCGGTGCTGGGCGTCTCCGTGATTGGACACAGCTGAGTTGAAGCTGGGCCAGTACATCCACAGGAAGAGGGTGCCTGGCCAGACCAGACAGGGCCCGTGGGCCCAGGAGGTGTTAGATGGGCCCCACAGAGCTCAGGCAGACATCCTGTCCTTAGTTCCAGAGATGTCATTATGACTCACACGCCCCAGCAGTTTCACACCTCTGCAGCTTTACTCATGCTGGGGAGTCTTCCCAGAACATCCTCCTCACCTTACTTATTATTACCTAACTTCCACTTGGCCCTCTACTCTGCTCCAGAAAGTCTACCCTGGCCCCATAACTGGGCTAAATGCCTCCCAGCTTACTCCCACGGAGCCCTGAGGGAGGATCTTTTTCCCTACTGCAGGGAGATTATCTGGTAACATTGCCATCTTTGCCAAAACCCTGTGAGGAGCTCCTTGAAGGCAAGGCTGGGTTTTAGGAGACCAGAGTGGGTGGTTGATATGTATTCTCTGGAATGAATGGACATAGGAAGTAGGAATTCACACCTTATACTAGCCTAGGGGATGGAGTGACCTGTTCCTGGTTACCACTTTGTCTGCTTTGTGGGATGCTAGGGAAAACAGGATGAGAGACCAACTTCTTCCAGCCCCATAGGAAAAAGGGACAAACATCTGGGATCCTCAAGGTGTATACAGGCAACACTCTGCCCTTTCCTCAAAGGGAACTGCCTTCCACCCACCAGACCATGTGGGGATCAGGTGTAATTATGGCAGCCTGAACTCCTCATGGAGACCCTCACCCATTATGGTGGGTCTCACTCCTCATGGTGATCCTCACCCATCATAAAGGTCCTCACCCAGCATGGCAACCCTCAGGCATCATGATGGCCCTTATCCATCATGGCCATCTTCACCCATCGAGGTGGCCCTCAATCATTATAGCAGCTCTCACCAATCATGGCAAAGAGGTCCGAGTGGTACACAGAGCTCTGCCTCTCCTTGCTCTGATGTAGGCCGGGTCGGTAGAGGATCCAGGTCACTGTGAGCCCAAAGTAGGCGCCAAATGTGTGGATAGTCATAGAGCCCCCTGCATCCTTCACCTGGGGTACAGGGATTTGTCAGGCTCTTCTCTCCCTCCCCTCTATTGGTACTTTCTTTCCCCTCCCCCATGAAACACACACACACACACACACACACACACACACAACTCCATCTGTCTCTGACTCCAGAAGCCCAGGACCCCCACAGACCAATTGGTTGGGAAGGGGAGAAAGTGGGGATCCCTGAGCCCAGGCTGTGAGCCTGTTGGCAAAACACCAGAGCATTTTCACCCAGCAGATGGCATTGCGCCTAGATGGGGAAATCCGGGCTTGGATGCTCCATCACAGAGTGGGAAGAGGTGAATCAGAGCTAAAACCCAGGGCCGCCCCCTACCTGGCTTGTCAGCCACTAACTTCCACCGTATCTTAATTCCTGGGAGCCCTTCCCTTCCTTCCGGGCCTCTCCTCTCCACATTTCTTCCCTCCCCAACCACTCCAGACCCAGCATCATGCCATCTACACTGTCACTCCTCATCTCCCTAGCATCCTGCCACAGTTCTTGCCCTACACCTCCCAGCTGTCCTCCCCCCACCCGCCTACCCCATCTCCACACTCCTCCCCTCCATCCCCTGCAGTCAGAGCAGACAGATTGGTTTCTTCCTCCTCTGTCCCTTCTATGCCTCAAGTACCTCATTCACAAAGTGGGGGAGATTGCAGTGACTTAGCAGGGCTGTCTGGATGGTGAAACTAAACTCGTGTAAAGCACCTGGTGAGCGCCTGGTACCCTGCATGTGCTTGGTTGACCTGGCCTTCCTTCCCATGTCCCCACCTCCCCTCTTTATAGCATCTTCTTCCTCCCCACTCCATACCAATCTCGGGGGAAACTCTAATCAGAATCACACTCGCTCCTTTACTTTAGTTGGGGAAATCCTGCCAGAGAGGTAAGCATGTTGTCCAGGGTCACACAGCTAGTTGTGGAGTTAGTGGTTGATGGAGCTGGGTTCCCTGGTTACCAGCCTGGCAGGTGCCTCTACTGGCTGTGGGACCTGGGGTAAGCCCTTTAACCTCAGCTTCCTCTTTTGTAAAGTGGGAATAATGATTATGCCTATCTCAGAGATGAGGATGCATGAGATCAGCCATGTGACTCATTCAGAGCAGGGCCCAGCCAAAGGCAAGTGCTCCTTACATGTCAGCAGTGATTGTTGTATTTTGACTTGGCACAGAGACAGGCCCAAAGGCTGTCGTGCATGGAAAGAATTTCTGTAGCAAGCTGGGAAGGATTTTTGAGGGCCTCTTCACTCAGGTCCAAGATACTACATTATCAGCCTACTTCAGATAATGCCCATTGGCCCCACTAGCTTCTTTCTTCTCCACACCTCCCATGCCAGCCAGGCCCCAAGACCAGTGTGCTCAGCTTCTTTATATCTGTCGAACTACCACCATCTCCTTGTACTACCCCAGTCCCTGTCCCATTATCTCTCACAGGGTGACAAGGACAGCCTCCTAACTGGGCTCCCTGCTCCCAGCCGTTCTCCTCACCACAGCCAAAGCAGCATTTCCATTACACGTGTCTGACCGTGCCGCTCCCCTGTCTGAAACCTTCCATAGCTCCCAATGACAAAAGTTGAGACTATTTAATGCCATCTCCAGGACTCTTGATGATCCATGCTCCCCCCTCATTATCCCTCCAAGCCTTTCTTGCTCCCCCCTCCTCCAGCCAGGTGGAGCCACCAGAGACCAGAGACCTTTCACGGTGGGCCTCCCTCAAAGCCTATGCACTCACTGTTCCCTCTGCCATACTCTTTCACCTGGTTATTTCCCACTTGACTTCTAGCTTTGACATCTCTTTCTCCAGAAAGCCTCCCTGACCTGCCCTGCTGGTTCAGGGATCCTCCCTTTATGCCACAGAGATCTGACCCCACTCCTCATCACACTGCATGGTTACTGTCTATTTACTTCCTGGCTCCCTCACTAGATTGCGAGCTCCTTGGAGTCTAAGTGAGAGGCCTGCCCACCTCTGTATCACAGTGCCTGGAGCATTACCTGCTGTGCAGACTCCAAAATGCATTTACTTGACAAATATTTGTTTATCACTTATTAGGCATTGAACTAGGTGCTGGGGATACAGATGGTCCGGACAGATCAAGTTTATTGGAGAAAGAGAAACATTACAAAAAAAATAAACCAACTCAATGTGAGAGAGAGTGACTAGGGGTAGGGGGGCCAGAAAGATAGAGGGCAACACTGTGGGGTGGGGGGAGGATCTGGGAGGGCCTCTCTGAAGAGGTGATATTCCATCTGAGACCTCAGTAATGAAAACAAGTGAGGGATGAGCATTACAAGCAAAGGGAGTAGCAAATGCAAAGGCCCAGGGGTGGAACCAAGCTTGATGTGTTGAGGAGCAGACAGCAGTGTGTGGCCAAAGCACAGGAAGATGAGGAGAGAGTAGATTATAAGCTTGGAAGGCTAGAGGCAGAACATGTGAGGATTTATAGCAAATTTGGATTTTACTCGAAGTAAAATTTTAAAACCACTGGAGGGTTTTAATCAGGAGAATGGTCTTACATGCATTATTGACAGGCCTCCATGGCTGCTGGTGGAGATTGGCCTGAGGTAGTGAGTGGGGCAAGGATGAAGATAGGGAGATGAGTTAGGAGGATGAGATATGGTGGTTTGGGCCAGTCTGGTAGCTGAAGAAAATGGCAAAATGAATGACTGAATGCAGTGTGACCTAAAAGAAAAAAAAAATTTCTACTCCTTGTGGGGGGTGGGAATATTCCAGGCAGAATCCAAATGTAGAGGAGTTGGGGGCTAAGAAATGGATGAAGTCCCTGAATGGGTGGCATCCTGCAAAGGTGCCAAAGATGTATCTGAGCTAGAGTCAGAGGTCTAAGGTGCCCCTTACTTGGGCCATTGAATTGGCCAAATTTCAGGGGAATGATTCCTGCCATAGTCCATGTGAGTGTCATCTCTGGAGTTGTGCAGTGTGCAACCTATGCAGTTGTACATGTTCACTGTGGCCATTCCCTTACAGATCTTCCCTTACAGATGTGCCCCCCCCCCAATACACTGGATCCAAAAAAAAAAAAAAATACACTGGATCCTTCTCTTGGCAGAGCAGTCTGGGAATGAGGTGTGTGTGTGCGCAAGAGCATGTGCGGGAACACACATTCTTTCCATCCAATATGCAGGAAAGAGAAAGGAGGGAGAAAACCACTATAGGAGGAACCCCTGCTTTCCCCAGATGTTGGACTGATTTGCTGGGTGGACCACCATCCCTGTCCAATAAGTGTCATCACTCTCCCTTTAGAGATGAGGAGACTGAGGCTCACAAAGTTAAGTGACTGGCCAAGGTTGAATTGAATCCAGCTCACGTGCCTCCCAAGCCCTCTCTTTCTTTCCTTCCCTGCTGTTACCCCAAGTATCCCCCCCCCCCGCAATTCTGAGCCCTGCTCACCTCTAGCAGATTGAGGAGGATAAACTCATTCACCGAAAAGAGGGTCACTTGGAAGAGAGTCATGATGAGTAGCTGAACAGGGCTGACTTTGCCCAGAACTGCCCCGAAGGCCACACAGACAGAGCCCACGCAGAAGTCCGCATTGATGAGGCTGTGGGGAGACAGGTCAGGGGAGGTGCTGAGGCAACAGCAAAAAGTGGCACTCCAAGTCCCCAGGTTGAATCTGGACGTTGGTCGTCTGTGAATTTGGGCTCATGGCTTAACCTTTCTGAGACTCAGTTTCATGGTGTGATCATGAGCATATCACATCTTAAAGCTACTCTAGGAATGAAAAGAAATAGCACATGAAAGGGCCAGCACAGCAGTGACCATACCAGATGCCATACCCTTCCTCCATGGCCCCCATCCCAGTGCTCCTTGCAGGTAGCTTGTGTTTAGGGCACCCAGGTCGTCTGGCTGCTGTTATGGAACATGCCCCCATATTTGGGGGCTTGCCCTGTCCTCCATCCTCTATATGCTCTTCCAGAACCTCTTCTGACTCCCTCCTCTTTCAGGAAATCTTCCTCGATTCTTCCATGCAGATGTGGTCTCCGCCTCCAGACCCTTATCTCTCACTCTATACACACCTCTCCTGCTGGCTACCAGGCCCCTCCTTGGGTTTGAGCTCTCATGACCTCCTCTTCACCTTACCTAGGAGAGAGGTTCTGTGTCCAGGGAAGAGAGAGAGGCCCTTCTGCAGGAAGTAGGGAGCTGGGGGCTGGGTAGAGGGGGGTAGGAAGACCAACAGAACAGAGGTAGAGGAGCATCTTGGTTCTCCTTAAGTCTGGACCCTGAAGGAGTGGTGGAAGGGGAGGAGGGCGGGGGGTGGAGGTGAATGGGTGACTTGCACTGAGGGGGGCACTTGACGGGATGAGCACTGGGTGTTATTCTGTATGTTCGCAAATTGAACACCAATAAAAAATAAATTTATTATTAAAAAAAGTTTGGACCCTGAAAGCCCAGCTGGGCAGCAGAGGGTTGATGAAGAGGCGGACATCCAGGTAGATGTCATGTAGCCAGATGAGACCCTGGTTCCATCCACATGGAAGGCCTGCCTAATCCAGTCCTTCTTGGGCTTAGCCAGTAGCAAAGCTGTCCTGGATTCCAAGACAGAGTCATGAGAGTTGTTCATGGAAGTGGGGCAAGGTGTGTAGGGACAGTAGAGGCTACTTTCTCAAGCCATTCACATCCAGAGGAAGGGCCCCCTGCCCCATGCTGAAAGGGTGTGTGTGTGGTGTGTGGTGGTGTGTGTGTGTGAAAGAGAGAGAGAGAGAGAGAATCAGAGAGAGGTGAGAAGCCAGCTAATTGTAGGGCCAGGGTGTAGAATGGGGGCTGCTCTGTCGGGGTCCCTCCCAAGATGAGGATATTCATTGGAACATCTCCTCCACTATGAGCCTTGTTTGCTGCTGAATGAATCATGGCAGTTACTAAGTGCCAGGCACTGAAATACCCCTGTTCAGTACTGCATATGCCTTCCTGTGCCATGCCCAAACCCGAGGGGACAGGTACTATTACTAGCCACATGATAGGGTTGGAACAGAGAGGCTTATTAGAGAGGCTGAGTTATTTGCTCATGTTCCCATGACTGTAGCCAGAAGATCATCTGACAGAGGTGACCTCAGAAAGAGAGGGAGAGGCCCGTACTTTGGGCCATCAGCTGCCAGGAGATAGAGGTTTGCCTGTCACATCTCAGGAGGTCACCAGAGGCTCGGGGAGAGCCTGCACAGGGCATCCCCCTACAGGTGGGACCTGGGGTACTCTTCAGCAGGGCAGAAGCCAGGAGGAGGGTCTGGGGACAACCGGATCATCCAGGCCTTAGCACAAGAATTGGCTCCAACTCAGTGGCTAAAAATCGATTCCCTGAAAGCCAATTTGCCAAAACTCAATTTGTCAGGTGACCAACTTGCCAAATAACTGATTCACCAAAAAACTCACCAGCTCATAAGTGTATGATAATTCCCTTTGACAATTTTTAAAAAGTCGTATACTTTTGTTTTTCATTTAGCCACAGCTCTTTTGCTTGGGTGACAAGGATATCCCGGGTGTTTCCATACTTTAGGTCTCGGGCTTTGAGACTGAGACTTTCTTGTGTGGTTTGAACTGCATGGTGATATGCATGTCAAAGATTTTACATACAAAAGACCGACTTACTGATTCTAACACGTCTTCTATCTAGTCAACTGGGTTTTTTTTCAGTTTCTCTTAAGTCATGGCTTCACTGATTGGCTTGTGTGAAGTAATATCTGGCAAGTATTTGGCAAATGTTTTACGTTTCAGACACCTGGTCTATGATCCCCGGTGGGGCCCTCTAAGTGACAGCAGGGGTTTGCACGTTGAACGTGGTTTTCTTTTTCTAAACACATCGAGCAGGCTAAGGAGTGTTCATTTGCACATCCGCCCCGCCTCCAGACCCCGCCCCGGGCCTCGGGGCCCGCCTCTCACCCTAGCCCCACTCCACCCCTTCCCCGCCCCCCAGCCTCCGGCCCGGCCCCCCCCGCCCCGCCCCCTCGGCCCCGGCCCCGCCCCCGCTCACTTTTCCACGCCCACGCGAATGTTGCCCCGGTAGTAGGAGTGGAACCAGCCCTGCATGAGCAGCGCCCACTGGATGCCGAAGGCTGCCAGCAGGAAGTTGAAGCCCACGGAGCTGTAACCGTAGCGCTGCAGGAAAGTCATGAGGAAGCCGAAGCCCACGAAGATCATCACGTGCACATCTTGGAAGCCTGCGGGGAGAGCGCAGTCCGGGGTCTCGGTGACCTAGCCCTGCCTCGCCCTGGGTCTGGGCCAGCGCTGCCTGGCGCAGTGCCTCTGTCTTCCGGGGCCGCCGACCCCCCAGGTTGCCTCCGGAGCCCCCTCCCCACCTCTGCCTGCATCTGGATCCCGGGGCTAGGTGCAGTCAATGAATAGTTCTGCTGGCCATAGAACAGACACTACCCCTATCTTGTCCTAAGAACCTCTGAAGGGGGCTGGGCTGGGGGGACCGAGGTGAAGCCCCCACACTTTAGACCGCTTGTTCTGATGCCAACAAATGCCTGAGCGCTCCCTCAGGAGATGACAGCCTCCTCTCTCCACCCTCACCCAGGGTGGAGGTGGGCAGCTGGGCGTTTGAAATTGGGGCCGGGCTGTGGCTCACACCTAGAATCTAGGGCCTAGAACCGAGACTCTCTGCAGCCTTGCTCCTCAACTCCATTTTTTCAGTACAGAGAAGTTAGTCTCATCTGGGCCTGAGTCCCTTGAGGGGCCAAGCACATGAGTTGATCACCTCCCTCAACCTACGAATGTCACATTCCACCTCCATCCCCAGCAAGTGCACTTTCTTGCACCATGAGACCCGAATTTGGATCCTAGTTCCTCCATCTGGCAGATGACTCTGGAAAGTCAGGTAACATCCTTAGGTCTTAGTGCCTTCTGTAATACTTTCTCACAAAGCCTGCAGAGATTAAATGTGGATGTGTGGGTAAACCACCTAGCAGTGTCTGTCCCACTTGCTCAAAATGGACAAGTGTCATTATTTACTGTTGCTTTATTTTTATTTATTTACTTAGGCATAGGCTAACTCTGAGTTTTTTTTTTTAAGATTTTATTTATTCATGAGACACACAGAGAGAGAGAGAATGAGGCAGAGACACAGGCAGAGGGAGAAGCGGGCTCCGTGCAGGGAGCCCCATGTGGGACTCGATCCGGGACCTCCAGGATCAGGCCCTGGGCCGAAGGCAGCACTAAACCACTCTGCCACCTGCGCTGCCCTAATTCTAAACTTTTCTACAAATTCTAGAGTCCCAGAAAATAATAGCCAAGTGCTTTAGGAAACAGTTACAAAAATATAAGGCCATAAGAGGAACTACAGATGCCACAGGAGCCAGATTGAAGGTTTCCTACTGCCCAAATCTGGGACGATTTGAGCACCAAAATTATGTACTGTAATGAATTAGAAGCATTACGAAATAGGAACTCGGAATAGGAAATAAATGAGATCATGGGGAGGGCTCTTGCTTGGAACAGAATGCTGAGGGCCAGACAGTTAAATGTGGAATGAGCACTGAGGTTGGAAAATCGTGATTTTCACAGTAAAGATTCCATCAGCGGGTGCTAAATCCAGGGAGAAATTTTGATGAAGAGCAGAACATTTGCATTGTTTTCAAGAGTCTCCCTTAGATGTGAGTTGCAAGGGATTGAAAAAAAAAAAAAACCCAGAAATTATGGAGTGGAGAAAAAGGACTACATCTTCACTGGGTGATCAAAATTAACGTCACCAATGAGAGACAGGTGGGTATCACGGGCCTTCAGATGTGATACTCTGAAGAAGACGTATCACCTGTATGGTCTTCCAGCCCAGCAGGCATTAGCCCCACCTACTCACGAGGAAGCACCAAACAGTAAAACGAGTAACAGACTGTTAGAAAGGAGGGTGGTGAGGCTGTCTTCTTGAAAAATGTCAATGTCATGGAAGACAAAGAAAGGCTGCAGAAACATTCCAGGTTAAAAGGAGCTAAAGAAATATGCCAAGTACGTTCAATACCTAGCTCCAAACTGGATCCTGGATTGGGCAGGTGGCATGCAAGGAGAGCTGTAAAGGCGGTTACTGACCCTTACTGCAGGGTCTCTGCCCGTGGCCTTGCCCTGCCCGGGATGCTGCTCCTGCAGCACAGCCAATGACCTCTCTTCCTGCAGTTCTCAACAAAGCGTCAGCTCATCACAGAGGCCTACTGGACTCTCTAGTTTAAAGTTGGTTCTCCCCCTCCCAGCCCCCTCTTCCTTTTTGTTCTTTTTATTTTATTTTTTATTTATTCATGAGAGATATAGAGAAAGGCAGAGTCACAGGAAGAGGAAGAAGCAGGCTCCCCATGGGGAGCCTGATGCGGGACTCGATTCCAGGACCCTGGGATCATGACCTGAGCCGAAGGCTGACGCTCAACCACTGAGCCACTCAGGTGCCCCCTTTTTTGTTCTTATTACAGTCTGCAGTTGGGTATGTTTGGCCCGCTAGACTGGTAAATGCCCAGAAGTCGAAGCTGTGCCTGTTTTCCTCAGCCCCATTGTCCCCAGCACCTGTGAGAGTGCCCTGGAGACTGTAAAGATCTGTGAATGAATGATGACTGTTGTCACCTCAGCAGTACCCAAGGGTGCCAGCAGTCAATGAGCCCCAGGTGGGATTCACGGGCAAGAGAGGCTGCAGGTTCTCTCCAGTCTGACACCTCCTGCCCACGGGGGCAGATAGCCTGGCTAAGGTGGGGGCAGCAGTGCTTATGCTCCAGCGGCCCTAACCTTGCCTGTCCCCAGCTGCCCCTTCTGTCCCCCCATCTCCACCCCGCCCCACGGCCCCCTTGGCTAGTGGCCACCTGGAGGTGGCTTAGGGGAGAGGCGCTGGCACACTGCAGGATACATATGGGTGGAGGGCATACAAGCTGGTGCAGGAGAGCCATGAGTCTCACCCCAGTGTGGTGCCCTGAGCTGCTGTCTGGAGGCCTGTGCGAATTTGCAGGAACAAACAGCAGCTCAGTGTAGGTTTCACGATGCATGCAGCTGATTTTCGTGCATTATCGCGTTTTATGGTTTATCACGTTTCCAACTGTTGTGGGGGAATCTGAGCTAATGCGTGTGAAGCACCATACGTGGCATTATGGTTATTCTTGGGAAGAACGGATGGGTGGCAGACTGAAGGAGAGGTGTGAAAGAGGGAGGTGACATTTTCAGACTACAGTTCCAAGCAGCGGGGAGAGGAGCTGGCAGGAGGGCAGGGCTGCTGCTAATAGATGCAGGGAAGTAGGAGCTGGTTGTGGGTGGGGGGGCTGGGTCTAGTGCTGGCTTTGGGGTTCAGAGGACCACAGTGGGGAGGGTGGGGGGAGTCGTGAGGGGTGGCAGGGCAGGTGGAAGGAAGGGAGGCTGGCTGTGCGGGGTGATACGGGGACCTGAGACAGGGCAGGCCCCGCAGATGGAGCTGTGACTCAGAATGTAGGCACAGTGAGGGGGAGACAGCAGCCGAGAGCTGGCCTGCCTTTGAAGCTAGCAGGCCGGACAGGGAAGGCAAGGCGCTGGCAGGGGGTGGGAGGAGCCCTTGGGTAGAGGAGCGTCACAGAGGTTTGGTGGCAGAAAGGAACCATATGGGCAGGGGCTGAGGGTGGGTGTGGTGGGTGGGGGGTACCTCCTGGGGCATATCTGCAAATTCAGGGCTGACTCTCATTCTCAGTGCACGGTCCCTGCCTGCCCTGTCTAGCCAGTTCTCTGACCTCCACAACTCCCGGGTGTCCTGACGTCTCTCTTTGCCTCTCTCTGGGGGTATCTCTTTCTCCCTTGCTCCCACCTCAGGCCCACAGACACCAGCTTCTCTCTCCTTGGGCACCTCCTTGTTCCTTTGCTTGCTCCCTTTCTGCTTATCTTCCACACTGGTCCTAATTTAGAACCCCAACCCACTACTTGATTAATTAATGTTTTATAAAGTTTGGGGCTACCTAAACTGCGTTTAGTAGTCATGGTTTGAGGATCCCAATTGTGTGACCTTTGGGAAGGACATAATCTCTCTGATCTGCAGTTTCTTTTTCTGTAAAGTGGGGATAGTACTTGTGCTCGGGTAGTGCTCACCCCAGAGCTTTGTGGTGCACATTTAATGACTTCATCCAGCCCTGGGTATAGGCCTGCCTCTTTGGCAATCGACCAATTCACTATTTCTCTTTTTCTCTTTCAAGTCTTTCCCTGTGTTTTGCACTGAGTTGGCAACTTGTTGTAGATCAGTGGAAGTTGATGAAACGCCTCCCCTTCTCCCTCTTTCCCCAGCTTGGGGTGACACAAGCAGCCCTGCTCTGCCCAGAATCTGTCCTCTCAACCTGGAGACCCAATCACCACCATCATGGAGCGCGGCTGGCATGCCGGCTTGCAGCCACGAAAGCTGCCACCAGGGGGCACCAGCGCATAGCTGTTCCACTCTTCACCCCTTGCTAGCTCACACTCCCCTAACTCCAGGATGGGTCCCTCGTGAAAGGAGCCTCATCTCTGAAATCTGAGGACAGTTTCCCATGCTGCTGGATCACAGCACCCTCCGCCACCCTGCTGCACCAGAACAGAAAGTGGTGCCCTGCCTGGTGCAGCCTGGTGCTGTCTCCTTCCCCTTTTCTGTAGTCCAGTCTAGCCCAGCCCAAACTTTCTTTGAGGCCTCCTGGCTGAGTCCCTCGCTCCCCCAAGGCTCTGTGCCTACCTCCCCCACATCTCAGAGCGAACCACAGAACCACCCCATCACCACACAGTCTCCTGGCGATGGCGCAGAGGCCAGAGGCCGGAGGAAAGCAGGTGGGCTGTGGGGTGGGATGGCTCAACCAGTCCCTGCCTGTGCCCCTGACACAATGCTGAGAGTCCTGGGCAAATCTCTAACCTCCACTTCTGACACCACAAGATGGAAAGAAATGCCCTGCCTGACAGAGCATGCAAAAAGCACTTGTAAGTGGGGAGAGCACAAAGGAATTTAAAGGCTATCATCGTTGAAACTAATATTCAGGGAGACGTTCTTCGGCCCTATCTCTAAAGAGATGCTAGGCCTCCACTCACATACCATCGATGATGGAGCACTCACTCCCCTCTGAGGACACTTGACACCAGCATTTACTGTCCCTTCACTTCATGCCACCAGATGTTCCCCACCAGTCACCTGCCATCTTCAATTTTCCTGGAAAGCCAGTGCATTAAATAACATTCCCACTTCATGGATGAGCACTGAGGCTCACTCCACTTGAGTGATGGACCCAGATCCGCTTAATTCCAAAGTCCATGTTACATTGCTCTCTGCTTGTGGGAGAGCTTGTCCTTTATTAAATGGAGCTGAATCTGAGATGCAGTTCCCAGGATTGCAGAGTGAGCTTGGCTGCTGTGGCCTCATGAAACAGTCTTTCGGGTGTTGAAACTATGGCATCCTCTGCCCTGGGTCATCTCCTAGAAAGGTGTCCTATTCCTCCTTCCGCCAAGTTTTAGGATCTTAGACTCCGATGGCTCCTCCTCCTCGGGCCAACCCCCGCCCACCCAACACACACACACTGCCAACAGCCACATAGGCCCCAGAGCAGCAGCCCATGAGGAAGCTCTGTGTTCAGCAACCAGTGCCTGTAGCACAGGCTTCTGAGGGCACTGCCAGGGCAGGTCCCCAGCTGGCTCTGTGCCTGCTGCCTGCCAAGGGGCCCATGCCTGGGGAGCAGTTCCAAGGCCTTTCTGAGCCCCAGCCTGAGCCAGTTGGAGCTGGACTCCTCTGGAAACCAGAGATGCCCAGCAGGCTACACTGATCCCCTGGGCAGGAATGGGGCCCATGCAGGTATTATGTTGACAGCTTAGACCCAAGAGCCCAGAAGGTACCACAAGGGTGTGACCTCATCTCATGCCCCTGGGAATTGACACACTGGAGCCCACTTGTGCCGAGAGGCTATGTGCGCTCTAACTCCTGACCATAACCACAATGACCAAGTGGACCTGAAAAGGGTCTGGCAAGAGGAAAGGGGGAAGATGAGCCAGGATGAAGGAGAGAGGTCCAGGAGCCCAGGGTCTTACTCTGGCTCTTTGGTTTCCTAGCCACTCCCCCTCTCTGGCCATAGTCTCTTTGTCTGTAAAATGGAAGTCCCAACAGTGCCCTCCTTGTGGAGTGGTGGGGGTGTCAAAGGAGAGAACACATGCCTGCTATCTTGCATTGTTCCACTATTTGCCAAGGAATCCTGAGGCCAAGGGTCTCTCCCTGTACTTCTCTCCTCTCTGTCACTTCTTATGTGATGACCAAGAGTTTCCTAGCACCCATAGGGGAAATGGCAGGAGAAACTGAAGCCCTCTTTCATGGCTGGGGCTGTCTCATCCCCCTTAGCAACCTCCCTTCTTTCCCTTTTGCAAACCCTACCCTTGGGCCACTCTGCACCACTCACCTGCTCCCAGCAGCCTGCCCTGCTTCCCCCCTCCTCACTGTTGCACCTCCTTGCAGGAAGCTGTCTCAGATCTCTTCTGCCTAGAGAAACTGACACCACTGAGGACAGGGTGTGGGGATGCTCTCGATGAGTTTGGGAGCCCTTTGGGGTCAGAGACCCAGGATGCACATCCAGAGTGGCCATAAGTCTTGGTCTGTTGGAAGAGTCATGATTTACATCTGTGTCCTGGCAAATTAATACTAGCACAACTCCCTCACCTCATCACTCTCAAAAGTGTCATTGATTGAGAAGTTATATGGCCACCCTATAGGTAAGCGATTGTTGTGTGAATAAATGAAGGTGGATGTGGATGGAGTGGGGATAGGTACTGGGGAGATGTGAGGACTGCACCCCTCATTGGGGAGGTTCTGAGCTCCTATTATTTTAGGGCTTTGAGACTTTCCATCATTTGGATTCATCAAAGAACCTATTAATTATTGAAGCCCATGGAAGACCTTGCCTCCCATGCTTTGCTGAGAGGCTGGCTTTATGGCTAAGAGATAAGCAAGAACGAGAGCAAAGGAGTGGAACTGGCAAAGGAGGACCTCAGGCTCGCCTGCCTCTTCATTTGCTGGGTCAGTCCAAGGAGAGTAAAGGGGTCAGTGAAGGGCAGATTTGGAGATAAATTCTAAGGCTACAGCTGTTAAGATCTGTTAAAACATGACCCTGAGTGGAGCCCAGTAGGGGCTGTGGTCTCAACCAGCACAAGGCACACTGTCCTTCTGTCACTTCCCTCCTTCTAGGCACCATATTTCTCTTATTGTAGCCTGTGTTGGGTTAGCTTTTTGGCAACCATTTAATATGGCTGGCTCCCACTGAGTTGGCATCCCCCTCACCCTTGTCTTTATTCATGCAGGTCGCCATCTTGAATGTATGCAGTTATTTGTTTGGATCTAGGTAAAATGTTATTTCTGGAGGTAAAGACTCCCATTACTGAGGGTATTCAAGCCATGCAGGGAACGCTAGTTGGCATAGGTGGCTGTTGCTGATAAGCTGTAGAGTCCCTGCCGAGACTAACAGTCCACCACCATGTGAGCACCAACAACTGGAATGAATGTCATTGGCTGCTGGTATATGGCATGGAAAATCAGAAAGAGCCCTGGGCTAAGACTCTGGAGGTTGGGCCAACCTGAGTGACCTTGAGCCAGTTTTTCCAACTCCTGAATCCTAGGGCATCTGTGCTTTAGTGCTTCTCCAGTAATTGCTCCATTAGGACGTGAGGGCTCCATGGCCAGCACCATGGCAGAGCTTGACAGGCACTGTGTCACACCAGCCTCACCCCAGCCCTTTAAGGCAGGTGCTCTTATTGTCTCTCTTTGACAGATGTGGAAATGGAGTCTTGGTGAGGTGGACACGTGCCTAAGGTCACCCACCTGGTTAATGGCAGAACCATGACAGAAGTGAGGTCTGGCGATTCCAAAGCCATGCCCTTAACCACAGCACCACAGACACCAGAGAATTCAGGATGTTGGTTCTTCCTCTCCAAGCCAGAAGGGGGTGGGTGCCACCATCCCACACATGCCTCCCCACACAGCAGGACTGGCAGGTCAACGAGCCATCCTGCAGCCTGTGACATGGGACACCTACCCCCTTCTGTGGAGAGTAGGGGCACAGCTGGACAAGGGAGCCGGGTTCACCCCCTGGTTGGTGACTGAGATGGGACTCAGGACAAGTAGGGCTCTCTGCCAGGGAGGTTGGAGGCCTCTGATGGCGCCCCCAGTGAGCTCCCCCTGGTGAGTTTTCCCTATTACCTGAACACAGGGAAAAGATGTTGGTGCACATGTGGCCATTTCTCAAGCGTGCTCTGCAGAGCCTGGCGGGTGCCCAGGTGGGGAGGCCGGGTGGGGAGGGCCAGGGGGCTGTGAGCAGCTGCCTCCTCCACCCTGCCCGGCCCACCCACTGTTCCCGAGGAGCAGCAGGCCCGGCAGGTGCGCGGTGAGGCAGGGCTGCGGCCGGGACCCTGCCTGCGAGGTGGCCAGACTTACTCGGGTAGCGGTAGTAGAATTCATTCTCCAGGTCGCTGGTGGAGTTCTCAGCCGCCTTCTTGTTCATCCAGTGGGGATCGGCATCCATGTCATAGCGCACAAACACGCCGAACAGGACCACCAGGGCCACCTGCAGGAGCAGGCAGGTGACCGGCAGCCGCCAGCGGAGATTGGTGTTCCAGACCATGCTGCGGGGGGCGCTGGCCAGGAGGGCGGCGGGTACTTCGGACCGACGCTCGCAGGCCGGGGAGGCTTATAAGACCCGGGCAGGGGCGGGGCGGCCGCGTCGGGTGGCGGAACAGCTGACCCGGGTGCGCCCGCGCGCTCGCCCAACCGGCAAGGGGACCGCGGGCTCCGGGCTCGCCTCCATCCCGCCCCCCAGCCTCCCCCGTCGGGGGCCCCGCGGCGGGAGCAGGGGCGGAGAGTGCAGGCAAGTGGGAGGGGGTGGAGGCGCCTCAACCTCGGTGGGTCTCCTCCGTTCCCCGCAGCCTGCCTTTCCGCTTTTGTTCGGCGCATCAGGATCCGAGACAGAAGAGGCCAGGTTATCTGCCTCCTACAGAGAGAAGAACGGAGGGATTCCTCGACAGCGCTCATCAGCATCACCAGCATCGCCACCATCCCTCCCTTTTTCTGATCCCAAAGTTCCTACAGGGAACATGAAAAACCAACAAAAGTGTAAGAACCAGCATAGACCAGAGAAGCCTGGAAGAAGCGTGACAGTTCATACAATTGGTGAATTGTATCCTGGAACAGAGAGACGATGTTAGTGGAAAACCCGGTGAAATCCACATAAAGTCTGAAGTTTAGTGTTGTTGTTGTTTTTTTTTTAAGATTTTATGTGTTTATTCATGAGAGACACAAAGAGAGGTAGAGACATAGGCAGAGGGAGAAGCAGACTCCCTACAGCAACGGGGAGCCAGATGCAGGACTCAATCCCAGGACCCCAGGATCACACCCTGAGTGGAAGGCAGACACTCAACCACTAAGCCACCCAGGTGCTCCAGGTCTGAAGTTTAGTTAATAGTTATTGTGCCCATGTGGGTTTCGTGGTTGTGACGACTGTACCAGGCACTTATGTGAGGTATTAGAAGGGGAAACAGAGTGCCTGGTAAAGGTGAACTCTATATTGTCTTTGTAATTTTTCTGTAAATCTAAAATTATTCCTGAAAAAAAAGGAAGGTATTAAGAAAAAGAATTATATATATATATATTCCTTAGCGGGTCAGAGAGTGGAGTGTGTGTGCGGGGGGGGGGGGGGGGGGGGGGGGGAGCAGTGTAGCCATTACCATAAAAGGAGATATAGATAGGATAGGAATTGAGAAGAAATACTCCAACCTCTACCTGCTCCCAGTTGATAAGGGAGCCACAGCCACAGGTACGCAGTCCCTGGGGGTTAGCTGCTCAGGACACAGGGCAGGACTGAGAAGGGCAGATCAGATACTTGGGGTGAAGATGGGCTAAATGGAGCATAAACAGCAGGGGCCTTTAGGTTTTCTTTATATATATATATATATATATATATATTTTTTTTTTTTTTTTAGTTGTTCTTGATCAGGAATTATTTTTTGGTTAAGATGTGTGATCTTCAGGTGAGGAAACCAGAGGGTTTAAGTGAAAAAAAAATTTTTTTTTGGTTTAAGTGAAATCTATGCTTAGTCTATATTTTGTCAAAATAAATTTGATTTTCTAATTTTTCTTTATAAAAGGAAATACTCGGGGCACCTGAGTGGCTCAGTGGGTTAAGCATTTGCTCTGGTCATGGTCCTGGAGTCCTGGGATCAAGCCCCGCATTGGGCTCCCTGCTCAGAGGGGAGTCTGCTGCTTCCTCTGCTTCTTACCCTACTCGTGTGCGTGAGCGCTCTCTCTTTATCTCTCTCTCAAATAAATAAAATCTTTGAAAATAAATTTAAAAATTAAAAAGGTAACACTGTAGAGATTTTGGAAAATACAGAAAGTAACAAGAAAACCAGCTGTAATTCCTCTACCTATGGACAACCCTAACATGAGACAGAGAAAGGGAACAAGAAATCCATACTGTAATACTGATATCTAGCTACTTTATCCACTTAGTATTTTGTAAACATTTCCTGTATTCTCATTCTTCTATACCATTTTTAATGGCAGGATATACCATGCCTTATTTAGCCAACCCCCTAGTGTTAGACAATGGGGTTGCTTTGGGTTTGTTTGGTATAATAAATAACCCTGTCATGAACACCCAGGTGTATAGGTCTTTGTATGGATTTTCTGTGAGTTTCCAGAGGCTAAATTGCTTTGATACATATTGCTAAAGGTCCTCCAAACAAAGCATGTGTGTCATGTGCTGCATGGCACCTGTGCACCCTCACCAACGCTGGATTATAAAAAACCACTGCCAGTTTGAATCCCAGATTTGTAAAAGCTGGGAGTGCCATGCAGAACATCTGAGCCTGAGCTCCTGATCAAGGTGCTGGAAACTCAGGACGCCTGGGCGGCTCAGTGGTTGAGCATCTGCCTTTGGCTCAGGGCGTGATCCCAGGGTCCTGGGATCTAGTCCCACATTGGGCTCCCTGTGTGGAGTCTGCTTCTCCCTCGACCTCTGTCTCTGCCTCTCTCTGTATGTCTCTGATAAATAAATAAAATCTTTTAAAAAAAAAAAGATGCTGGGAACTCAAATGTGGTCCCATTGCACCCACATAGGCAACAGGGTGTCCCCCATTCCCTTAGCAAGAGAAGTACTCGGCTTCAAGACACAGCCAGACATGGAAGAGCGATACTGGCAAGAGGGGCCATTTTTTACATGCTTGCTTGGCCCAACCTTTTAGATTCATTCTAGTTCTCAATGAAACTCTTGCAAAGTGGATGATGGAGCTCCATCCTACAGATGACACTGAGCTGAGATTCAAACTTAGGGCTGTCCTAAGTCACCACATATGCTGCTCACCCCTGCTCTGGGCAGGGCAGAAGAAAGGTTTGGTTTCAAGTACCCACACCCCCTGTTGCAGAGAGAGAGGTATCTAAGCACACAGCCAGGGGAGAATGAGGGGCAGGAGGCAAGGGCTGGGGATGTTTGGAGATGATATCCTGGGAGCACAAAGACTCCTGGAGTCATCCATTCCTCAGGGGGCCACAAGTTCCTTTAGGAGAGGAATGTATCTTACATCTAACTCTCTCCCCTGCCCACAGCACAGCTACATGAAGAGCAAGAAGGTTGAAGGAGGTGGAGGATAATATTCTTTGAGCACCTAACTGTATCCCAGGCACTATATTCTAGGTGCTAGGAGGTAAATCCCTGTCCCCATGGAAATTATTGGGGTGGGAGGTGACAAAAGCAAGCACAATAGCGAAGTACAAGGTATGTGCCAGAGTGACAAGTGCCAAGCAGGACAAGGATGTGGAAAGTGGACTGTGGGAGGGCTGGGAATGTCAAGTAAATGCAGGGACCAGGGAAGGTTACACTGGGGAAGGAGGGATAAGATGTGGAGGGAGGAGGTGAGGGAGGGAGGGAGGAAGTGAAAGAGGGAGGGAGGAAGAGAGAGAAAGAAAAGATTCTTCTGCTGGCTCTGGTCCCACCTCATCCCTGACCTGGGGACATGGCCCCCCTCAGCAGCGTTTTGATGCTGCTGCACTTTCCTGACTGTCCCAGAGCAGCTGTTCCCTTCGTTGGCTGCTGCCCATGGTGTTCTGGTAGACTGCGCTCTCAGTGCCCACCCCTGGCCCCAACCCTCACCAATGGCCAGCAGCTTTATTTCTGGTGCCCCTGGGGCAGGGGGGATGGCCACTTCTCCTAGAAATCTAGAAAAAGAATCTCCTTCCAGATTGTTTTCTCTGCACCTACCAAAGTAAGGCCAGGCCAGCAGGCTGCCCCACCTGTGATGAGGCTGGCCCCCTGCAGAGAGTCTATCCTCCCCGCTGTGATGGGGGGCTGGAGCTGGGGCAGGGGGAAGATGGGAGCTCTCTCCTCTGGGCCCTTTGTTCACTTTCTTCTATCCCCAATTGCCATCTCGTGCATTCATCTCATCTTTCCTCTTAGCACTGGCCTCATGTGATCTGCTCCTCTATCTGTCTGTGGTCTATCCCCCTGTACCAGAATGTCAGCCCCCAGGGCAAGGGCCCCTAGAAGAGAGTCTAACTCAACATAGTTACTCATTAATGACTTTTTGAATGAATGAATGAACTCTTTCAATGTATTCGGTAATCCGAGTGTGTCCAGAGCACCTACTGCATACATAGTTCAGTATTAGGCCTGAAGAGTCTCACAAAGATGCCCCCTACTTTGTGCTATACAAGAGGAGGCACAAGTGATTTGTCCTGGTGGTTAAAGCAGAATCAAGGACTTTCTCATGTAGTTGGGAAACACGCCCCTGTGCCGATCAGAGTGGGCTTCCTGGAATAGGAGAACTGATCTAGGATGTGCAGAGCAGGTAGGAGATAGACCTTTCCTTCTCTGCTGTCTGGCTTGTCTTGTCTCACCTGTCCCCCCAACCAAATGATTCCAGGCCACTTCCCCAGCCTGACCTGGTGCTTCCTCTGACCACCAGCAGGCTGGAATTCTGGGCATGTCCTCTGAGACCAGGGTTCAAGAAACTGGCTGCTCAGGTCTATCGGGCCAGGCAGGGGTTTGCCAGAGGAGCTAGCCACTTCCTCCTAAAATGTGGGTGACTTGACAAGTGAGGATGACGGGCAGGAATGATGCATTGAGATGGCTCCCTCCCCAGCCGGAGAGCGGGGTGTGGCAGTTATATGGTCTGGCAAGGTTGGAGGTGGTGGTGGTGGCATGGTTTGGGCCAGAGGTGATTCAGATTGTCCTGCTTTGTGTCAGGGTCACCCTGCTCCAAGCACGGTGGCCATGCAGTGGGAGCTGTGCTGGGATAGTCACTGCCATGGCTCTTCCCTGTGCCAATCCCTCAGGGCAGATCACCATCAGCACCTTTGGCATCTCTGGCCTGGGTCCCACAACCCACCTGAGGGTGTGCCAAGGGCACTAGGCCAGGTCTCACAAGTTCTTGAGGCTGATTCCAGTGCTACTAATTTGCCAGTACACACAATCTCTCTGGGCCTTATTTCCTCCATCTGCAAATGGGTACCTGCCCTGCTCACCACTCCAATCTGCTGTGATGCTCCAAGGAGAACAACAGTGTGGTGCTTAGCACCTTGGCCCAGAGAGAGTTACAAGGGGGCCAGGGCTTGAGGGCCAATGCTGTTACCTCCTAGCTGGGTGAACTTGGGCAAG